TGTGAGAATCTCCGCAGATTCGTTGTCGTGTCGGCATGCACCTTTCTGTATTGAAGTTGCTGGCCTCTGTAAAGACCAGGGTGTGCGTGTTTTGGGGACCGTCACGGGCGTCGCCAGATCTGGTTTGGTCAGGCGTCAGGTATCAAACAGTGCGGCTCGTAGTTGGCGAGGATGGCACGAAGATGACACGAGGCATCACCGCGCGGAAATGCAAGGTGAAGGATGTGCCTTGTGTGTGTGACATTGTCCATGGGGGGTTTTGGTGCCAGGTGCTTTCCCCCCAGTCTTCACGGACACGAGAAATACAGACTCACTTTTCAATCTGCTTTGTGCCCCACAAGCCCTCCTTCCTCCTCCAGTCTCCTCGCTCTACATCCCTCACGCACCCTCAAGGCTCTGCTCGCTACCCCTCGTCTCCTCGGCTTGCACACGCACTAGTGACGGGAGCGCACGAAACCAAACGCTCTTAACGACAACTTCGACAATATTGCCCTGGAGTGGCGCTTGGTGCTGATGAACTTGAGTGCTGTGGTAGATTGGTTTTCAACAAGAAACTCTTCAAGGGAGTTGAAACGATAGACCATGAACCATGGGCATGATATAACCTGAAGCTGCTGAATTAACCCTTACCTGTTGCTTAAAAAAAAACTGGAGCTCATACGGTTAACAAAGTTTGGCGTACTTGCGCTTGCGCGGGTTGCCGAAGTGATCCCCATACCATTTCACCACCTCTGGATGATTATTGCCACTGTGTGGAAATCCGTCGCAGTGATGCAATGCTCTGCGTTTAAGCGAATGAACTCAAGTACACCAATGTGATCGTGACGGGCAGCACGATACGCAAGATCCTTCGAGTGGGGTTGATGCAACAGCCATTTGAAAGCTTCCACTTGCCCGCGCTCCAAAGCATTTCTTATTGCATTGTCCGGCAAGTTTAAGGCGAAATTTTCACTTCATTACTTGTATGTGCCCATTATTAGCGGCACCAACCATCGCGGCTTCTTTGCATCCCTCGTTATGGTGCACATATAGCCATTTAACGATGCTGAGATGTCCTCCTGTGGTTGTGCCATTCATTGCTTAGGCAGAACAGCCTTCCCGACGGTGCACATACAGACATTTCACGACGTCAAGATGCCCATTTGCGGCGCTCATTGCCGCTATGAAACAGCCTTCTCAACGATTAAAGTGAAGAATTTTAACCACTTCCAAGTGTCCAAAGCAAGCGGCCGCATCCATCGCCTCTGCACCGCATCCTTCCGCTCGATTCTGGTGAGACCGACGGGTACAAACCCCATTCCGCGTATTGAACAACGCTGCAAGACTCGCCTCGGACGATAAGGCCAAGGACGAGCAGCTAAGTTTGTTTGGCATCTGGATTATAGGCCCTCGATTTGTTAGAGAAGTTTGCATTTTTATAATACTCTCCGTTTCACATTAGTTGCCGTTTATCGCTGTATT